GAAGAAGAAGAAGAAGAAGAAGAAGAAGAAGAAGAAGAAGAAGAAGAAGAAGAAGAAGAAGAAGAAGAAGAAGAAGAAGAAGAAGAAGAAGAAGAAGACCTTAAAGATTCATTTTATTGTAAAGAAATTATAGTAGTCCCTAGTATTGCTTTCTTTGGTTTCAATTACCCATGGTCAACCCCAGTTAGAACATATTAAATGGAAATTTTCAAAAATAAACTGATAAATTTTAAATTCTGAGGAGCACAATTAAATCTCTCAGAACCTTGCTCTATTTCAGCCAGAATGTGCCATGGCTTTCCCCAGAATACCCACACTGTATATACTCCAACCATGGAATCACTAGTGGCCTCAGATGTTAGATCTATTGTTCAGGTACCTCAGCATCTGTATTCAAGTCACTCATATTTTACTTAGCAATAAATTTAGACCCCAGAAATAATGATACAGGGAATTTTAATATGGTATGCTACCACAATTGTTCTACTTTGTTGTTATTGTTAATCTTATTGTGTTTATTTATAAATTTGACTTTTTTTAATGGATTTAAGACAGCGTCTACCGAGTCTCTCTACACAGATTGAACTCATAGTGATTCTCCCATTTTCAACCTCCCAAGTACTAGGATTAGAGGTAGGAGCCACCACACCCAGTCTCAGTTGCCATCTCAACATGCCCCGGGGGCAGGGCTGGCATGGCATGCAGGGGATCAAATCCTGGCTACTGTGCTCTGCCTAAGCAGGCACTTTAATCTACTGAGATATCTGGCCAGCCCTATAAATTTGACTTTATCATAGGTGTGTATGTACAGGAAAAAAAATGTGTATTTGTAGGATTCAATCCTATGCAAGGTTTCAGCAACCCTCTGGGAATGTAAGACATATCCTCCATGCACTACAGAGTACATGTTTTTCAAAAAACCTTATAAATTAAAGTGTATGAATTTACTTACACAATGTAATAGTTTAAAATAAGTATGCATGTTTGTAAAACACAATTCTAATTTTTTTTAAAATAATGATAACATCTAGACAAATGAAAAATTAAATATACAGAAAGTGATAAAGACCAAACTGCAGTCTTATTTCCCCTAAGTAGCTCATCAACAATTTTTTATTCAGCAGGCGGCAAGATAGCTCATCAGACTAAAGCGCCTGCTTAGGCCAGCTTAGGCAAGTTCAGGGGCTGCAGTTCAATTCCCGGCACCACATGCCTTGCCAACTGAGCTGAGCTGGCCACAGAGTCCTGGCATAGTGGCGCAAACCTTTAATCCCAGCGCTGGGGAGGCTGCAAGCAGAAGGATCACTATGAGTCCAAGCTATGTAGTGAGACCCTGTAACAACCAAATACTTTAAAATAATAACAATTTCTTATTCATAAAAAGGTATGCAAAACTAACACCCAGAGATTTTAAGCCAAAAAAGCGAGCATTGCTTATGTAGATTGTTTTCTTCCTTAGGCATTCCTGAAATCTTTCCATGTACATATAAATATCCATCCCATTCATTTCAGTGACTGAATCCAATTTATTTTACAGCTGTGACAAAATATATGAGACCATTATGGATAAAAGTTAGGTTGTTTCCAGTTTTTGTTGTTTTGGTATACAATAAAGTAATTAACATTTTTGCTGTACATTATGAATATATGCATGCAATCAATTTATTTCAATGGAATTACTGGGCCAAACAGTTAATGATTGTTCATCTTTTACTGTACCTAATTTATAAATTAAGTTTTATCATGGGCATATATATATATGTATGTATTTCAATAATGCCCATGATTCAGTAATGTCCAGTATTTCAACTGCCCTAAGGGGGTATAGGACATATATTCCATTCATAAAGAAAGACAATAGAGGTTTTAGTATGGTACTCAGGATTGGAACCAGAGTATTTACATGAGTCTACAACCCCAGCCCTTATTGTTCTTTCGTTTAGAGTCAGGGTCTCATCAAGTTGCTAAATTTCTCGGGCAAGACCCAATTTTGTAATTCTCATGCCAATACTTACCAGAGTTCCAGGTTTACAGGCATATGCCAGCATGCTAATTTATATCTCAATAGATATTATTAATTTATATCTTAATAGTTATTTCCAA